CGTCGCTGGTGACTCACAGCAGCCCAGCTCCAGGTTGAGCTGTTGTTCAGCATCTTAGCTGTGGAGGGCAGTGTCACTGGCCCTCATATGTGGGAGCCAAACCGGGGCCCTCTGGAGTCCAAAGCCAGTTCTTAACCATCGCGCCACTCAGCCGGCCAGCTCCCATCCTTTTTTGACTTCTAGTTTTTCACTTTTATGTCACTACCATCTTTTAAAATAAGATTTCAAAGATTTTATATATATACATATATATATATGTATATATATATGTATTTTTTTAAACAGCAGCCTAAGAAGTAATCAGTCCTCAATCTAAATAAAACAAAACTATCAATTTCCCTGAATTTCCAAGAGTGAAATAAATAAAGCTCTGTTGGAATTTACCTACACAAATTGTGGCTTTGGGGGGAAGAGAGAAATAAACTAGTCTTTTTTCTTCCTTAGGTTTATTTACTGTATAAACCCTGGGGTTTCTACATTTTATAATGTGACTACTGATTAAAAAAGATAAATGGTTGTTTATTAATGTTCTCAAGCACCATGCAAATTCGCATCACCTTGGTTATATTTTGTCCTTAAAGCTATGAAGTAAATATGGAAGCATTTTGTTGTTAACAAGGCTAAAATATGTTAATTCAAATAGTTGGCTTTGAGTAGGATTTTCCTTTAAATAGTTAATAGAAAAATGAAGAGAGCTTGGGTGGTCAAGCATGAAATGTAAATAAGAGTAGTTTTCTTTTTTAGGCCTTATCATCTGATATCACCTGATGTTAAAATTTAAATTTGATAACAGAAACTGACCTTACAATTTGCATCATCATGAACAATGCAGCTTATACCCCAGATTTTTTTTTTTTAGCTGAACCATCCTGCCACCTGTTGGCAACTCAGCGGCAGCTCAGCTTGGGTTGGGAATCGAACCGCTGTTGCTCAAAGCTCAAACTCTTGAGCGAGTTCTTAACCTACTAAGCCACTCGGCCGGCCCTACCCCAGATATTTTTTACAGTAGTACTGAAACTATGATTTTTAAGTACCATTTCGTAATGACAAAGTCAGTGAAAAAATTAGATAATTTGAATTGGGTAGAGTAGAAAAAGAGCTTACCTGTCCTTTTATATATGGGGCCATGTTTTTTAAATAAAAAATTAAGATAGAGGGGCCGGCCGAATGGCTCAGTTGGTTAAGAGTTGGCTTGGGCGCACGATCTCTGAGCAGCAGGGCTGCCGGTTCAGTTCCCACATGGGCCAGTGACACTGCACCCTCTATAGCTAAGATGATGAACAACAGCTCAACCTGGAACTGGGCTGCCGTGAGTGGCCAGCAATGGCGTAGGCTGCAGTGGAGCTGTAGTGGGCTGCTGTAAACTACTGTGAGTGGCTGGCAGCCAGAGTGAGCAGCCGAGAGCCGGTGAGAGCTGCCATGAGCTGCCATGAGCCGCCGTGAATGGCCATCCAATGGCTGACGACCAACTGCCTCAGCCAGGAAAAGCGCAATGATCATAATACCAACATGGGCCAGTGAAGCAACATCCTCCACAACTAGACTGAAGAACAAAAGGACAGCAAATTGTCTGTTCTCCTTCCCCAATTCCCCAGTACTGTTCCCCTCCACCAATTCCTCAATAAAATTAAAAAAAAAAAAAAAGATAGAGGATGTTGGAGCAAAGCAGAGACAAACTTAGATCTCTTTAAATGGGTGAAATTCCTGATGGGCCAAATAATACAGGAAGGACATACTCTTGCCTTCTTAATGAGGAATATATTCCTTTAAAGCAGAAAAAAAAACTTTACAAACCTCTTTTTCAGCTTCCCAGTATCTAGTTGGCCTCAGAATGGCAGCCATTTCCTATTCTCAGGTAGCTGGTGAGAAACGCATAGTTCAGCTGCATCCGGAGACTCAGGAAAATCAAGGTGGTCAGAGGGCTGTAGCTTCTACCATTCTGCTGCCAGAAAAAGAATTTCAGAGAAAAGGCAATTTAAAATGCATGTTTTAGCCAGGTATTAACCATAAGTACCTCCTCAACTATGACTGATACTATGATTATAAGCTTTCAACTTAGGTATGAGTGACCCATTTTTTTCTTTTTGGGGAAAAAAAACCACCTCAGAGTGTCACAGATTTCTATCAAACAAGAAAATGAAGTGATTTAGTAGCCGTGAAGTTTGTGCCAGCTTTTCAGTTGTCCCAAGGTTTGGGTTGCTTTACAGTGATAACAAAATTCATGACAAAGTTAAGCAATGATTCAAGCTCATGTTAAAATGTCCTGTCTATTTTACTGTAAAGCATTCTAAGTATGCTTTACTTTGGAAGGCATCAACAACAGTACACACCATCTTCCAGAAATGCATTCCTATACCAACAAGATTCTTAAGAAATGGGAATTGCTATAAGGACACACCCTGGAGCACCTCATAGGACATTGAGCTCTTGAGAATATTCTGGAAGCATCACTGTGAACAGCTGCTTTGATGACGAGGATGGCTGCGCTTGCGCACTTTTTTCTCTACAAGGGAGCGTAGCAGAAGGAGCAGCTTTTAGAAGGAGAAACACCGTTTGCCTCTTAGAATGCTTTTCTACTGTAATGAGTTTACTGAGAGCTACATTCCACTGTCGCTTTAAATCTGTGGGCCATTGAATATTGTTCCGCCTTTTTTTGAAGTTACAAAATACCTTGTCTATGGGGTGGCGGGAATGGAAACTTTGGACAACTAAATGCCTAAGACTTCAGGTAACCCAGATGACATACATGCAATAACATTCTATGAAGAATTTATTCAACCCAATCCCTTGATTAACCAATGCACACAAACTCCAAATTTTGCACCCTCCAAAAGGGAGGGAAAATGCAAGGGTCTTGCTGCAGTTCCTGGGACGTACTGAGAGCTGTTTTGTTACAATTGTATCCAATGTCCTCAGCACCAGGGACTTCTGGGGCGCTGTTCTTCCTTGCTCCACTTGCTCTGCAGCTCCCAGAGGAGGCGGTTGTGCTGGGAAGGCAGACCTTGCCAAGCTGGCCGACAAGATGCTGCGCACCCCCAAGTGTTCACGGTGCCGGAACCATGGCTTCCTGGTGCCAGTCAAGGGCCATGCGGGCAAGTGTCGCTGGAAGCAGTGCACCTGCGAGAAGTGCTACCTGATCACGCAACGCCATAAGATCATGGCTGCGCAGAAAGGGCTCAAGAGGCAGGCCTCTGAGGAAGAGCATGAGTTAGCCTCCGGGGCCACGGCTGTTGCCCTGGCGCCCAGCCTCCACCCGCTGCCTCAGCTTGCAGCTTCTGAAGACGCGGAGCCAGGCCCTGAAGGCCGCGTGGCCGCCTGCTTGCTGGAGAGACCACCACGGGACCCGAGCCCTGGCCCTGAGGGCCCCGCGGCCGCCTGCTTGCTGGAGAGACCACCACAGGGCCCGAGCCCTGGCCCTGAGGGCCCCACGGCCGCCTGCTTGCTGGAGAGACCACCACGGGGCCCGAGCCCTGGCCCTGAGGGCCCCGCGGCCGCCTGCTTGCTGGAGAGACCACCACAGGGCCCGAGTCCTGGCCTGAGCGCCTTCCAGCCAGTTCTGGGAGGCCGCGGCCACATGGGGCCGAGTGAAAGAGCTGCTGTGGCCGTGCCCAGTCTTGTGGGGCTCCAGCTCGGGGTGGAGGCCGCAGGCAGGGGAGGCCCCGGCTTCCTGGAGTTGCGCAGGCCCATACGTCCCATGCCCAGTCCGCCATTCGCCGACTTCGGTAAGATTCCCAGGCCCCAAGCGGCCTTGCCCCCTGCGTCAGTTCCTTTCCGGGCTGCAGCCTTCCTGCACCCCATGCTGGCGTCCCAGGCCAGCCGAGATCCCGCTGCCTGGGATGGGCCTTTGGGGTGGGGGTGGGGAAAATGCTTTCCAGAGGTAATCTCACTTTGAGAAACCCTTACTGTATACCAGTTTGGGTTGAGTGTCTTTTTGCAAAAAGATAAAAGGAGCGATAGAAAGGAATGGGTAGTCCCGATGGCTTTTAACATTTAGCTACAATTTTTGCCTCGCTATCTTGCAAGGAAAAAATGGCCGCCAGTCGCCTTAGTTATGGCGTCTCTTCATTGGGATATTCGCTGTACTGCGCATGCGCGCACCGCTTCCCGCCCTTTTCTTTGGAGGCTCCTCCCCCAGAACATTGTGGCCTACACACCCCACAAAGATCCCTGATCCTGTGTACTCTTCCCTCCCTTTCCACAAGCTGGAGGCTTCTCCCAGAGTACCTCCTTTCGGTGGTGCCCTGCTCCAACCCGCTTGAGCCTCTTTTTCCACCCTTTTTTTTTGGGGGGGGGGCTAGAGGCGCCCCCCCTAGGACTTATTTGCGGATGAACTCGCTCAACTATGACTGCACCTGCACACTTTTCTTCTCCCCTTTCTGCCTTCTGGAGGCCCCACCCCCACCTGTGCCCTGGCCCATTGTGCCTGCGTACCCCTTTCCGTACCCTATCCCGCCCTTTTCCTATGCGTGGGTGGGAATGGGATAGCTGCTCTGCTCCACGCAGAAAGAGAAAGTTGGATCGCTGAGATGTTGACTCTTTTGTCTTCTTGCCACCATGTGCATAATTTACATTGCTACATGAGGAACAATGTAATTTATGCTTTAATTATTAAAATACAGCTCCCAAGGGCCGGGCGAGTGACTCAGTTGGTTAAGAGCTCGCTCAAGAGTTTGAGCTCTGAGCAACAGCAGTTCAAGTCCCGGCCGGAGCCGAACAGCAGCTGAGCTACCAACAGGTAGCAGGATGGCTCAGCTAAAAAACAAACAAACAAGCAAACAAATACAGCTCCCAAGTCACTGTAGATTTGAGGCTTTTTTTTTTAATTTTTTGGGGTTTTTTTTTTTGTTTGTTTGTTTTGTTTTTTTTTGTTTTTTTTAGCTGAGCCATCCTGCTATCTATTGGCAGCTTAGTGGCAGCTCAGCTCGGGCCGGGACTCGAACCGCTGTTGCTCAGAGCTCACACTCTTGAGTGCGCTCTTAACCAACTGAGCCACTTGGCCGGCCCTTATTAAAGATTTTTATTGGGGAATTGGGAGAAGGGGAACAGACAAGTTGCTGTCCTTTTGTTCTTCAGTCTAGTTGTGGAGGACGTTGCTTCACTG